CAAAAATTTATTGTGATACAAAATAGCACTTGGATCTATTTATATAGCAATATGCAAGGGTAACTTTACCTTTTTTTAAAGTTGAATAGCAACTGACTGAACATATTGTCAAGTAGGTAATATTTAGGACTTTATTGTTGGTATTTAAGAACTTAGACACCATTGGTAAAAAAAAGTTTCTGGAAGAACCCAACGTCACGTAAAAACCCACTCTGCCTTTGCACCATTTTTCGTTCCTAATAATCGTTATCATTATTTTTTGAAAAAAAGGCATTTCTCTGCACTCTATTCTTCTCACTCTCTTTCTTTTTTTTTAATTCATGTTTTATGGTCATCGTTTAGATGGTTCTTTCAGGAACTTGTGTGTATATATATTTACATAATTTTGATACTATGCATAATCACATTTGAAGCATGCTTTATCCTATGTTCCAAGGAAATATGAAATCGTAGTTTCAGTATTAGTCTCTAGCATTATATAGCGTGGCCTGTGATCCCATAATTACGATTATATATAAAAAGGTATTTTTTTTTATATTTTCACTCTTAGCATGCCAGACTTTAAGACCAAAATCTAATGCTATGTAAATTCATCGGGAATTCTGCAGTTACACTATGCATACTATCCTGCAAATGATAATGTATGATAATTAGTTTTTTTTCATGCTTATTATCTACTCCCAATTTGAAAGTTTTTTTTTTTCTAATGTTGAGGTCCTACACACATCAATCATAATTTTGATATAGACCTATACAGAGCAGGTAAGTTACCAAATTCAGCAATGAGAAATATCAAATGTATTGCTAATGCTTAATCTCATTCCCTCTACTTTTTTTTTTTTTTACATAGTGATAAAAAAGAAAGTATTATAACAAAAAAATAATGGATCACAGGTCACAAAAAAGATGTTATTCCGTTATTAAACATGAAAGTATTTAGGAGAGTCTACGATCAAAGGGTATATTTTCTTAGAAAGACAACCTAAAATTGAACCTCAGCTACGACAAGATATTTAAAATCAAGCAACACGTTTTGAGTATGAATTAAAAGAAAATCAGATATGGATGCCAAAAAATATATTCACTTTCTACGTTTGAAACCTGAAAAGGAGTTCTATTTTTTTTACTCGAAACGTTGTGTTTTTAGTCTTGTCTTGGCTTTGCGTCATTGACTTATCTTGATACTGATTATATTTTGTGCTTTGTGAATAGATCATCCCTGTCCATGTATATTGATTAAAAATAGCCTCTCCTTAATACTCGTAATGTGTGAACTTCTGCAATAAGGGAATAACATCTTATATTATCTTATATTCCTGAGTCTAATCAGGTGAGGAAATATTGAAGAGACAGTCATACTTGTTTTCTGTTTTGTTTATTGAATAATCATTGCATTTTGCATCTAAGCCTAAGAGCAAAAAATGGTTAAAAGGAAAAAAAAGTGAATAAGACCACCTTTTTAAAATCATGCATTTGGTCATTTTAAAAAAGCCAGACATAATTCTAATTTAACTTTCCTTTATCTCAATTTTATTCCATAACAGTTTTCACGACAGCTTTGTTGGCTTGTTCTAAGTGATTTACATATAATATATATATATATATATATATATATATATATATATATATATATATATATATATATATATATATATATATATATAAGGAGAATTTTTCATATTTTCCAAATGCTAATCACTTCATTCAATTTCCCAATCTTATCATTCCCTCAAAAAAAAAAAAAAATTATATTGCTCTTTCCTCAAGCTTCTCTCTTGCGATCTTGCCAGTCTTTCTATAGAATATATACATATATATAAAGCAAAATATTATTTCTAAAGTGCCATCTGCCAGCATCCAGCTCGTTCACTTGGCTTCTTGACCCTGGCACTCAACCTGCACTCACATGGGGGGGTGTCTCCCCTCCTCTCTCTCTGGTTCTTCTCTTTTTCTCTGCTTCTTTCTCTGGTTCTTTTCCTTTTCTCTGCTTCTTTCGTCTGGTTCTTCTCTTTTTCTCTGCTCCTCTTTCTCTGGTTCTTTTCTTTTTCTCTGCTTCTTTCTCTTATTTTTTTTTTTTTTCTCTGCTTCTTCTCTTTTTATCTGCTCCTCTTTCTCTGGTTCTTCCCATTTTCTCTGCTTCTTTCGTCTTCTTCTTTTCCTTTTCTCTACTTCTTTCTCTTATTCTTTTCTTTTTTCTTCTTCTTTTCCTTTTACTTCTTTCTTGATTCTTCCCTTTTGTCTACTTCCCCATCTTTCTTTTCCCTGCTTCTTTCGCCTGCTTCTTTTCCTTTTCTCTACTTCTTTCTCTTCTTCTTTTCTTTTTGTCTACTTTTTTCTCTTCTTCTTTTCCTTTTCTTTACTTCTTTCGTCTGGTTCTTCTCTTTGCTTCTTTCTCTAATTCTTTTCCTTTTGTCTACTTCTTTCTCTTCTTCTTTTCCTTTTACTTCTTTCTTGATTCTTTCCTTTTGTCTACTTCTTTTCTTTTTCTCTACTTCTTTCGTCTTCTTCTTTTCCTTCCCCCCCACTTTCTTCTTATTCTTCTTCCTCCTTCTCTTCTTCCATTTTCTTTTCTCATACAATTTTCCGACTTGTTTGGGATTCTTTTATATCCAATTGCATCGTGATATTTTCCTTCTCTTTCTCTTATTCCTTTTCTCCTCATTATTCCATCTTTTGAAAACAAGAAAAGAAAAGATAAAAAGAAAGAAAAAAATCTTTATGTAGATACTGAATAAGAATGATATTTCAATTTATTTTAATGAAAGAGGATGGATTCTATTCATCAGTTCGTATATATATATATTTTTTTTTACATTTTTACCTCCTATCTTGCCCTTCTTCCACCCCCACCCCCCAAAAAAAAAAAAAAAAATATATATATATATACATATATACATTTTATATATATATATATATATATATATATATATATATATATATATATATATATATATATATATAAATGGGAGATTACAAACATTTTCACGTGCATACATAAACACACACAAGCTTATAAACACGCACATGCGCACACTCAGCTACGCACACACACACACACACACACACACACAGAATTCTTAAACATTCAGCCACACTCACAAGCAAACACACACATACATCTGGGTCTCCCCCCCCCCACCCCCTCCCTTACTACCACCCACACCCACTCCCCCTTCCCCCCTTACACCTCCCTCCCTTTCCCCCCTCACCTACCTCCATCTCCCCCCCCCCCATCCCCCTCACCTTTCACCTCCCTCCCTCCCCCCCTCCTTCACCTCCATCTCCCTACTCCCCCTTCACCTCCCCCCACCCCTCACCTCTCACAAATCTAACCTCCCTCCCTCCCCTCACCCCCCCCCACCCCTCACCTCTCACAATCTAACCTTTCCCCTTCGTCTACCCCCCTCACCTCCCCCTCATCTCCCTCCCTCTTTCCCCCCTACTCCCCCCTCACCCTCCCTCTCCCCTCCTCACCTTCCCTCACCCCCCCTTTCCCTCCTTCACCTCCCCTCCCCCACTCCCCCCTCCATCCCCCCACCCCCCTCACCTCTCATAAATCTAACCGTTCCCCCTTCGTCTTCCTCCCCTACGCTGACATTATGTCCAAGACGCTGGTGTTCGGCATCTACGACTTCGACAGGTTTTCCAAGCATGACCAGATCGGCGAGGTCAAGATCCCGCTGTGTCAGGTCGATCTTGCGCAGACCATCGAGGAATGGAGGGACCTCGTGTCTGTAGAAGGGGATGGAGGCCAGGTGAGCAGATCGGGTACAGGGGAGTTTTTTTTTTTGTGTGTGTGATATTTTTTTTCTGATTTTTTTTTTTTTTTTTTTTTTTTGAGTTGGTTGGTTTCTTCTTTTTTTTTTTTTGGTCTCTTTCTCTCTATCTCTCTCAATTTCTGTTTTTTTTTTTCTCTCTCTCTCTCTTTCTCTCGGTAAAACTCGGATTCCCAAGCCTATACATATATTTTTTTTTCATCTTTCTCTATCTCCGTTCTTCTCGAAAAAAAGAGAAGGACAAAACTCTCAAACCTATTTTTTGTTTTATTTATTTTTTTCCTCTTTCTTCTCCATCTCCTCCCCCCCCCCCAAAAAAAAAAAAAATAATATATATATATACATATATAAATTTTATATATATATATATATATATATATATATATATATATATATATATATATATATATATATATAAATGGGAGATTACAAACATTTTCACGTGCATACATAAACACACACAAGCTTATAAACACGCACATGCGCACACTCAGCTACGCACATACATACACACACACACACACACACAGAATTCTTAAACATTCAGCCACACTCACAAGCAAACACACACATACTACTGGGTCTCCCCCCCCCCCACCCCCTCCCTTACTACCACCCACACCCACTCCCCCTTCCCCCCTTACACCTCCCTCCCTTTCCCCCCTCACCTACCTCCATCTCCCCCCCCCCATCCCCCTCACCTTTCACCTCCCTCCCTCCCCCCTCCTTCACCTCCATCTCCCCTACTCCCCCTTCACCTCCCCCCACCCCTCACCTCTCACAAATCTAACCTCCCTCCCTCCCCTCACCCCCCCCCTCACCTCTCACAATCTAACCTTTCCCCTTCGTCTACCCCCCTCACCTCCCCCTCATCTCCCTCCCTCTTTCCCCCCTACTCCCCCCTCACCCTCCCTCTCCCCTCCTCACCTTCCCTCACCCCCCCTTTCCCTCCTTCACCTCCCCTCCCCCACTCCCCCCTCCATCCCCCCACCCCCCCTCACCTCTCACAAATCTAACCTTTTCCCCTTCGTCTTCCCCTTCTCCTAGCAGGTCCCCTACGCTGACATTATGTCCAAGACGCTGGTGTTCGGCATCTACGACTTCGACAGGTTTTCCAAGCATGACCAGATCGGCGAGGTCAAGATCCCGCTGTGTCAGGTCGATCTTGCGCAGACCATCGAGGAATGGAGGGACCTCGTGTCTGTAGAAGGGGATGGAGGCCAGGTGAGCAGATCGGGTACAGGGGAGTTTTTTTTTTGTGTGTGTGTGATATTTTTTTTCTGATTTTTTTTTTTTTTTTTTTTTTTGAGTTGGTTGGTTTCTTCTTTTTTTTTTTTTGTCTCTTTCTCTCTATCTCTCTCAATTTCTGTTTTTTTTTCTCTCTCTCTCTCTTTCTCTCGGTAAAACTCGGATTCCCAAGCCTATACATATATTTTTTTTTTCATCTTTCTCTATCTCCGTTCTTCTCGAAAAAAAGAGAAGGACAAAACTCCCAAACCCATTTTTTGTTTTATTTTTTTCCTCCTTCTTTTCCATCTCCTCCCCCCCCCCCAAAAAAAAAAAAAATCAATTTCCCCTATTTTGTTTTCTGTCCATTTGTTTATCACCTTATTCTTTTCTTTTCTTGTTCCTCTCCCGGCCATTTCGTGTTTATAATTTATCCCTTTTAATCTTATTTGACCTGATTTGACCTAACTTTGTCCATCTATCTTTCTTTTTTTTTTCTTCCCAAACGTTAAATTCGAATAAACTGGCCATTCCATCTCTTTTTTTTTTCATTTTATATTTTATATTTTTCTTCTTCCTCTCTTTTCCCCCTTTTTTTTTAACTCTATCCCGACATTTATCCGATGATTATACTTTAACGTTATCTTTTTTTATCATTCCCCCCCCCCCCTTTTGACCTTTCCCTCTTACTCTTTGACCTTTGACCTGTTGATTTTCCCTAACCCTTTTTATACTATTAATCCGAGGCCTTTCATATTACAACAGCTTCCTTGGGCAATGTCTTTGTTGCCTTAAGGTGAACTGCAACTTTCTTATATTAATTACGAAATCATCTATATATTTTTTATATATTTTTCAGATTGTTTTATTAATATGCATCGTATACAATTTGTACATTCCTATGACAAAATTTCCCAGTGACAGAGGTATATATATCTATTTATTTTTCAAGAACAAAGTATCTATTGTCTAGATATCTTCAGCATTTAAAGAAATATATTAGAAATCTATTTAAACAGATTAAATATCGTAGAAATGTTTCTCTCACCTACAGCTTTTACCGTCCATCAATATTTCATTCATATAACTTTTTTTTTTTTTTTTACATGTGTCCATCTTGTGAAATAGCATTCATAAAAAAATAATGTTTACCTCTCTAAAGGTATCATCGCATTTTTTTCCCTTCCCCCCCCCCCCCCCCCCCCCCACAAGAAAAAAAAATACAAACAGTGATATTAGTTCCATACCCTTAAGAAAAAAAAATATCCAACCTTCCTACCTATTTTACCCCTTTCAGAAAAAAAAAAATTTATACTCAGGTAGGTCTACGTGACCAAAAACAAAAAAGAAAAAAAAAAAGAGAAAAATTATAGTCTTTGTCCATTCATCCGTTTAAAGAAATAAAAGAGTCATTCTGAATTCGAGATGATTCTACCAAAATTTTGAATTCGAATCGGGTGAAATTTCCGTTACATTTTTAACGATCGCAAGACAAAACCGAAACGAAAACAACAAAAACAAAACAAAAAACGCAGCAGCACGTCGCTGATTGGCTGTTATCTTAGATGACGTCACTAGTCCCCGCCCACTTCTCACCGGCTCATCACCAATTAGAAGAAATACACTAGTACTTTCTAGAATGATTTAAATCTGTAACGGCAATGACACCTTTTGAATCCATAAAACAGAAAAAAAATATCATAAACAATCTCGCTTTCATACTTAATCAACATCTCTGTAAATAGATAAATATGAAAAAAAAAAATCTCTCTCTTTATATATATTCTTTAACATATATGTTGTTTGCTTCTGTCTCTCATCTGTGGTTCAGAATGACACGAAAAAATTAACCAAAATTGTTTCGATCAAAATTCAAACCACTTACCATTTGGGAAAAGTTTTCGCTACCACTCTGTTACGAACAATTTTGTCACCCCAGTTTAGCCCTGTATATTATTTACTCTCTCTGTCTCCCTGTACGATAAAAACTAATGAATGTTAGTTCTTTAAATGGTGTATACAGTATTTCGTAGTTGTTGGTTGTTGTCTATCTAATATCTTATAGAATATAATAACAAGCCTAAAATCTTTTCTCAAGTGGTAATCGTGAATAAATTATCAAGAGTCACTTGAAGCATCTTGTATCCTTGAAGTATGAGATTCTGTTTATGTTCCAAGTTTTTATAAAAAAAAGTCTTTGATTTTTTTGTTTGGTTTTGTTTTTTTTGTTTAATGTATCTTATTATCGTGGTTGTAAAAGCATAGTTGTGTAGATCTTTCTCACACACTAACTCAAATACTACTTTAAACTGACTGAGGCTGCATCACTATAGCAGATTATAGTTTTCTGAACACCACACTATATACTCCTCTGTGAAAGAACTAGCTGAGAAATAGTTTAACTATTAGTCAAAACTTGGGTTGCTAGACGTTCGTATGACTTGAATAGATGGAATTGATCGATTACAAAAAAAAAAAAAAAAAGTTGAAAGATTTTTAAAAATCTTGACCCTCAACATTCAGTTTTGATTTTTTAAACAGTTTTTTTCCTTTGTTTATATCCATATAATTTCTTCCAGTATAAAGTCACAGATAGGTGGCTGTAGTGGCGAGTGCAGAGCATAGCTGAGCCTATTTAACACAACATAGCTAAAGTGCTTGAAGCCAAAAGGTATATAATTTAACAATGGCTGCATTTGAGCGCTGAGAGTAACGCGTTGCAAATGATTTTATGCCGGTGTAGGTGTTGCAACCTCTTCACCAAATGTATTTATTACTTTTTAGGTTCATTAGGAACAAAGCCATGTATATTTATATAAATAAAAAAATATATGTATAATTTTATGGGTACAGATTTACTGTACTTGCTTATTTTTCTCTTTGGTTTTCTTATTTTCTGTTGTTTTGTGTTTCTCTTTTCATTCTGTAGATCGTCAACATCAGTATATAAAACATGCACTGCGAATATTTATTTTTTTGTGTGCATTAGATGATCATAGGCCTATCGATCATACAACTAAATCGTTGCTCCAGTCAGCTTTCATGTGTTTTGAAAAAAAATATATATAAATAAATAATAAAAAAACAAGTGATATCGAGCTCAAAAAAAAGAAAGTTGTTTGTGTCAAGTAAACAAATCTTGGCCATCCAGACTTTGGTTTAGGCTCGTAGTGCGCCATCAACCCCCTGTCTGTTATTTAAAACAAAAGAAAAACAAATTGTCGCTGTGGGTAATAAATATGTTCGTGGTATACTGTTCTTAGGGTTCTGTGGTGGACGAGGGTGACGTGTCGTACTCTTGACAGTGTTCAAAAGTTCAAAGTTCAAAAGATTATTTACGAGTTTCTCAGCGTCCTTTGCTTTTCCTCTCTTAGACTCGTATCCCCCTCTCTATTTCTGTAAAGCAGTCAACTTTCCTCTTTGGTGTGTCGAAAGGTGATCATTTGTCCAGAGTACGAAAGGTACCCCTTGGTAGTCGCTGATGTACTGCACATAATTTTCCTGCAATGCTGCAATGAACATCAAGATGATTTTTTTTTTAGAATATATTAAAATGATAATAACACAGTAACTTTCATATTATCTTGCATCACTTGTTAAAACTGCGTTAGATTGCTTTGTATCTTATATTCTGGATGCAACATTTGATAATAATTAAAATAGATAATAATCTCTTTGGCTGAGTTGCCTCCGTTTCTTTGGTGAAACGGATACTAAGCTCATCACAGGATAGACTACACTCAATTGATGTCGTTGCAGTTTTGCGGATCTGTGGTTGAATTCGAAGACGTGCAACTCTGTCATAAGTCTCTCTCTCTCTCTCTCTCTCTCTCTCTCTCTCTCTCTCTCTCTCTCTCTCTCTCTCTCTCTCTCTCTCTCTCTCTCTCTCTCTCTCTCTCTCTCGAGGCTATTGCTTTCTCTACAAAAAGGCCTTCTCGAGTACTGAAGCTTTTCCCCCGTTTTCTTTTTTCCCCTTGGCAGAGTAACAGAGTTTACGAATTCAACGTTCAATATGTCTCCAGACCGCGTGGTTTCTCCCAGCCCAAGGGCTTACCTCATAACTTTTATATATTTATATAAAAAAAGAAGATAGAAAAAAAAGACAGAGATTATATGTTATTTTACTTTACTCTTCATTAATTGATGTACTTAACTGTTCCTCTGTAGGACGTTGATCAAATTTGGTCCTCGCGAGTGTGGATATTTTTTCCTAGTTTCTCCTTAACGAGCTGTAGTAGCCAAAATGTAGTGATTTAAGAGTGTCTAGGATATGAACACTAACACGACGGTCCCAACCATCCAAAATCACGGGTGTGGTTCGACCAAGGTGTACTGTAGCAGCAGTAGTTGGATTTTTAGTTAGGTGGTATCTGATGGTTGATGAAGGTTGTAATTATTATGATTATTATGATTGATTAATTTGTTATATATATATATACACATCTCTCTATCTATATATATATATTTTTTTTTCATTTATATACATCTATCATTTATTTATCTCTATATATTCATATTATCTTCACAACACGGGTTTCCTTTAAAGGACCTGGTAACAAGGGTTCCTAGCAACAAGTTAGTGAGAGTGCTTCCCGAGGGCTGGGACGACTCAGATGTACTACCTTAACGTGTAGGGCGCCGGCCACCCACCCACCCACCCCCCACCCGCCGTGACACCTTGACCCGCACTCTCTCAAGCTCAGGTCAGGCGAGGTCACTGTTTGTAACCAACCATCACGCCGAGAGAAAGTTTTTTTTTTTTAAGAAATGTTTTAAAAAATCTGTGATTAGTAACGGATAAATGAATGTTAATCTGTTAGGATTTGATGATCAAAAATCAGCTTAACAGGATATACCTTTTTTTCTCTCTCTCTTCAACATACGTTTTAAAAATATATATCTTTAGCTTAATCTCCCTCCCATACCCCTCAATCTCAGTCAAAAATCTATCGAAATTTTAATCGTCTTCAGAACCAGACCAAACTTAGTTCAAAACC